TCAGCACAATACACTCAACTAGACAGTACACAATAACAAGTTTACATTTAGCTTCAAGACATCATTTTCTAAACTGTCCATGCTTGTTACAATAACTAGTCAACCCAACAAAACAAAACACACAACTCAGTCAATTTAACACACTGCCTGTTGAAAACTCCACAGACATACTAAAATCAGTGTGGGAGTCAACAGACAACGTGTTAACGTAAAGGTATTAAAGCGTTACGAGTTTATACAGGAGTGCCACTGACCAATGAGAATTATCGACAACCAAGTTCAATTTAAATGTCAATATCAAATGCTTAGAAACAGATTAAACACAACTGACACTGGAAAAACTAGAGCAAGTTTGAAACAGTAGTTCAGTATACTCAATGAACTGGTTACAGAGTACATAAATTTGTTTACAGATAGAGAAATATTTAACGTGACAATCATTGATCTTGACATATATGTGTACTCTACACTATTTGTACATGTGGTCGTACAAATAAAAGAGAAGTCAATCAAATCTCTGCATATTTACTACAGTGTGATATTGTCAAGTTGCCAAATATGCCACGTTAGTTGAACATCCAATATTTTTTTTTCTCAAGAGAAAACTCCCACCACTGTAAAAGTTTTCACAATGAATCTCATCATTGCCAAAATGTGCAACTTCTATTCAAAATTAAATTCAAAGAAAACTGTGAAACTTTTAAAAGGAGAAATAATTTTGGTAGGACTTTGTATAATAAAAATCAATCAAATCTCTGCATATTTACTACAGTAGGATATTATGGAATTGCATCTCCAGAGCATTGCCTTGAATGAAATCAAAGTTCACTATTGGCCGATTGTTTTTGCAATTTTCGCAGCAAGATAAGCATTTTTTTAGGAGTTTGAAAAATTGTCAAGCTAAGGAAATCTAGCCAGGCAGCTCTGTTGCTACCTAATGCTTGTAATTAAACCTGTGTTTATAAACCCTTTTACATTGTAAACATGTGTATACTACTAACCCATAACCTATAGAATAAGTGATTGATGGATGGAAGAGCAATAAACTATGCTAGAATATATTTCAGGAGACTTTTTAAGTTGTAGCTCGCAAATACAGGATTTTGATGATTAAAAGGGTTATGAAAGACAACATTTCATTTTATTTTCTTGGGCTCCAATTGAGTATTAATTAAACTGTTAATTTCATTATATGACACGGTGAGATACTGAGCAATTTTCACTTAAGTGAGTTTTAGGGGGAAAAGTGCCCGTGGAGGAATTGCAAAATTTGTGAAAATATGTTTCCTAAAATTGAAGTGGTTTACATCACTGTCACCAGTAATAAGACAAGAAAAATGGCTCTAGTCAAATTTAAAGTTTTTTTTTTAAAATTCTGACTAAAAAATTTGCACATTACATGTATGTATCTGACATTCACAGCGACTAGAAACATGAATATTGGGGGGAGTGGGCTTACATGTAGCAGGCAGAATGGCAGTCTATAGTTCCTACATTTATACTTGTCTGTGATAGGAGGACCCGACTTTGATGATTGATGTATCTCACTAATTAAAAAATCATTTTATCATCTTTGGTAAATCTCAGGTCGGGAGATTGGTGCTAAGTCGGTATAAATCTGATGTGATAATTTGTAAAAGCTAGTTACACAGTTAATCCATCAACAAATACAAGTAGCTGGTAATCTGTGCTAGATAGAGAAGCAAGCAATAAATTGGGGTTATTCTAAGTTGTTGTCTATCTGTTATTTTTACCTACAAATGGTATCCATAACAACAGCCTGCAGAGGCACATCCCTCCACAGGGTTCAACCAATCTGTCATGTTATCTATAGAGACTCTATGAACTTGAAATAGCACAAAGCAAACAAGCTGCTACAGTGTATCATAGTTACCACCAGCACCATTAATGCACATAACCAAGCACTGCTATCCTAACAACAATCACCATAGTGATGACAATTTTGACAGATCCTCCTTAACTTTTCTCGAAGAATGTGACTACATGTACTTTATGCATCTATCTGAGAAGTATTAAGGGGGAGTCCGCACCTGTTATCACACAGCATGAAGTGTATGCATGGAAGCCAAAGGAATGTTAAATATTTAGCGAGATACAAAACGCAGTAACAAGGAGGCTTAAACAGACTTTCAAGTGACCCCCCCTCTAGTAACAGTGAGAAACTATTTACCTCTTATTTTGAATGGTTTTTGAAGTGGTTTCCAACAAATACAAGGTCAAGCACTATTTTTCGATTTTAATCGTTTCATTGACAACTTTTAAATTTTTTTTTATCATAAGCAATTGCTCTTACTCACGCCTACATTGCTCAGACAAAATTTTTCAATTTACGTGATTGTAATAAATTTAAGCAAGTCATCAAGATGAAAATAAAAGATAATGTAGAATTCTTTTAGCTGGAATTTCCACTGATTTTTAATTAGCTGAATGTAAAATATTTCACTGGATTTTATTTTCAGATACATTCCTTCAGTGAAAATAAATTGCAATACATTATTTTACAGTAGTAGTACATTTTCTAGGATAAGTGTCAAACATACTAGACACTGCAACAAGAATAAAGGTTCAAGGTGACAGCGACTGATAAACTATCAGACAATGACTTTTGAATGAGTTCAGTAAAATAACCTAATTTAGAGTAGAACTGATAACTCTATTTGATCAATTCAGTTTTATTATACTAGTAAGCATGCTCAGTGAGAAATGCCCCCTCCCCTCCCCTCCGAACAAATGACAATTCAGGATTGAGGTACGTTCAGTACCACTGCATAATATGCATGTAGACCAGATATTTGATTTGCACATACCTCTATTGGATATGCACTTTGAATAGAGCAAATGCAGTACAGAATTTATTGACTATGAGACATTTTATGCATATAAAACGATCCCAGGAAACAGAGACAGTGATGTACCTGATCATGCGAGATCAAAAAAACATTCATGCAATTACTTTTTTTTGGAAGAAAACGAATCATAAATAAATAAAAGTCAAAATAAAAGTGTTGTCAAGGCACAAGAATGTATAGGACACATGGTCAGCTTGAAAGATACAATTGGTTTGTATATACATGTATACTAGTATTGCTCCATATTTTCTACTACAAGGGACGTATTATAACTACCCTCTCATGTCCTTGGTATCATTGTTCTATTATTACCTTTGTCTGCTTACATGTGCTTCTAATAGAGATGAGCTTTTAAATAGAAATAATTATTTTATCAAATTTGTTACATAATATTAACGAATTGAGGAAATATAGACAAATGGACAAAGGAGCTGCGGTATAAGCTATTACTCAGGCTATCCTGGCAAATTGCCAAAACCCCCGGAAAGGAGACAGGCACAGGTACCTTCCAAATTCAAATGCCACTCTTTAAAGTACAGGTGTTGATTTCAAGCTTTGGAACTAGTATTACCACAAAAGAAATATTCATTTAAAAAGTACTTGAAGTGCCTATTGAGCAATAGTACAAGCTACACCATAGGTAGTCACACTCTTTTCAAAGAAGGTTATTCAACAAGTGTGTGGTTTCATCCACTCCAGTTGTCCTCTTGTAGTTACCTGCATGGTTTTAATTATTCAGACACAGGAAATTGGATGATGGCCTCGAACATATAACAATGTTAACTTTGTGTTTCATTGTTGAAGGGATTCTTCCGGACTCTATTGTACTGTGCAATAATAAATGTATCATGGTACTACGCATATCAGGGTTAGTTGCCTTAAGATGCTGAGATGACCTGACTATATACACAACAGGCTTTTAGACAGCTGTCTGAATACAAACTAATCAACTTTTGACAGAAAATTATGCATAAATTACAAATTGTCCATAAACAAGCAGCCTTTTCGGATGGGATAGCTCTACTGTTAGCAATGTTCATTTCAATTAGAAGATAGAAGATATCATTACAAAATGAACCAAACGAAGAGAGGTCCACCTGAGGTACCTATATTTCTTAAATGTCCTTCCTTTAAAAGTGAAAGGGAAAGACTTTTTAAGATTGTGATCTCAAGTCTAATTTACCAGATGATAATTTTCTTGGGGTAATAAAAAAATGCAAAAGCCTATTCACTATACCTTAAAGATACTATCTATAAATCTCCAGATTAAAAGTAGCGAGAAGTTATTATTATTATTTTGATATTTCTTTAGTTTTTTTTTCAGTTTTACTGTTTCTTTTTATTACATTTGTTTATTTATGTCTTGATATTCTCTTTACCCTACTAAATCCTCTGATGATTTAGTTGTGTCATAAAGTTATTATTATATTTATAATACCAAAGCTCATCAAAATTAGACTAATCATTAAAGATGCTACGACAAAAATGAACAAATCTGAGAGATCTACCCAAGGTACATGTACAATAAGTATCAAAGTATGTAATCAAACTTGGCGTTTTCAAGAAAAAGTTGAAAAAGTAATAAGTTGATGATGATGGACGATATAAAATCAGTAATATAATTAGCCCCACTTAATAAAGTCAACAGCAAAGCTGCAAATCAATAACAAATAAGCCTCCAAGTCTGGGGTTACAGAGAAGTAACTACTATCTTTTATTTGGATATAGACACTTTTCATTTTTTTGGCTACAACTCTGGTACATTGTATGGCTGAATGACCATATAACGCACGGTAAATGTATTATTTTTAATAGAGTACCAACATATAGGAATGTGTTTCTGTATTACATATTTGGTAAGGGACGACGTCAAAAGATCCATGTCTGATAAAAAACTTAATTCCTTTAGTTTTTTTCAAAACCTCCCTACCCCCCACTGAAACTTAATTGATAAATATTGGTCATGGCGTCAGACTACATTCACCATTAAATACAAATTGATAATTGGACAGTAGTATTGGCATAGCAGTTGGTTGTCAGGTGGGTGTAAACAAGATTTTACAAATGCATCGCATTTGACGCACAGATTTACACTCGAACCAAACAATTTTTCTGTTTTTTCCCTTTTCGGTTATTTCTGTCCATGATTGGATAGAAAAAAAACGAACTACAAGTACTCCAAGATTTTTTTGACTTCATTAAAAAATAAAATCGTTTTTGTAGGATGGAAACTTTTTGAGGTCAAAACCCCCCCACCCCAAACTAAAGGAAATAAGTTTTTTATTCGACATCGATCTTTTGACGTCGTCCCCAAGGCAAGATATTTTCGAAAGCATGATGAAAACTGCAAATGCTACATGGAAACAATACGATACAAACCAGTTTCTATTTTCACCAGTATATGCTCCTATAATGTGAACTATTTCCACAGTAACTGACATTATTTAAAGACTGTCACTGCGACTGCGTCGAAAATGTTTAGGGGAAACAAATTCTGCAATGCTCTGTGAAAACTGTTCTCTCATAAAATTGAACGGTTTTCAGTTTTTCAGGTTCAGTAATATACTATTTTAAAACATGTTTTATTAGCTCGCATGTTAATTTAGCTAATCCATAATTTCACTAATTCAAGATGTAGCCAATATAAAATAAAGTATATTCTAAACATTGTTCGCACTTTAGCTAAATTAAGATTCAGTTATTTTATGCATTGAGTCAAATGCTAAAATGGCATATAGCTATTTCAAAGAATTGGCAGTATGATGGGTGCTTTTGAATAATGTGGAACAGAAAACTGGTGTAATTCCTACCTTTATACTATTTCCTGATAGATTCAGCCACTCCAAACTGAAAAGTTCTCGCAATCCTTCAATAAACTGTATACTATTATTGGGAAGATTGAGTACTCTCAGCGTCCGAAGCCTGGCGATGCCATTCATGCGCACTAATCGGTTGTTGGCAATTGACAACTGTGTAGGAGAAAAAAAACAATAATATTGTTATCAACTTGAGAATCAACTTGAAGTTCATCTTTTCCCCAAGGAATGGACCTTGAGTAGCATTGTTCACCTGTCTGCAATCTCCACCCTCAATAATACCCCATTATTCATTTACCACCCACCATAAGCGTAATTCTCCATCAACATTCCACTTAGAAGAGCTAGAACAATTCTTTCCTTTAACATTTGTATCTTTCTTTTTGTCTTGAATAAAATCACACATACATGTTTGAAGGACTTCCATTGGGCCTGGGGGTTGAGTAAATGTTTCTTCATGACTTGGACAACAACAATTGTCACAAAAGAACAGTGAAGTTTTTAACAATGCATTACCAATGCTTGACTAACTTTTTGCTATTAAAAAGATTTGAAACATGTTGAAGGCTTAAAGATGCTGTCACGTACAAGTACAGTATTTCATGGGAAAAACTTTCTCTAGGTAAAGAGAATAATCCACACATTTTATCATCAATTTAACTTTATACTTCAGGCATTATTGGTCAAACTAGTGAAGAAAACTCAAAGTAAGACTTTAAGCAGATCATATAAGCATTCTTTATTAGCACAAAGCAGCTGTAACAATTCAATGCAGATAAAAAACTTAGCAATTGAATGTATTTTTCACTGATAAGTGAAATCTGCTAAACTGAATCGATGTGAACTTGCAAGAGAACAATAGAACGCATTGTTTCAATGGGAAATCTACAAATTTAAAACTCTGTGAATATAATCTAAATAATGAAATGAAATGCCTGTGGAAAAGAATGCTTTTATTATAGATGAAC